GTGGCCAAGCATTCAAATATATGAGCCTACGGCGCGGGGGGGGGGGGGTACACCATTCTCATTCAAACCACCACAGGGAGGTTGTCTTGTTAAGGGCAGGGCACCCTGGGGCATCAGGAAGGGTGTGGGCAGACTCAAAATAAAGTGTTCTGTGTACTAGAAGCGAGGGTGGAGGTTGGAGTGATGGGCACGAAGCTGTCTGGCTGAGCATGATGTTAGCTGCACCCCCCTCGCCTTTATAGTGGGGTAACAGTAGTAGGGGCCCTGGGGATGGGTGGAGGCCTTCCAGCTAATGAAGTTAGAGGTGCTTAGCCCAGTGTCTGGATAACGGTATACTGATAACTGAATCAGTACGGAGTTGGGTTAGATGCACCAGGACCGGCTGAGGCCAGAGAGGCCGGCTACAGACCCACTGAGTTGAGGGAGTTACTGCCAGGATCTGCAAACATGACCCCGAGCTTCCTAGTGGCCCTATGAAAAAGGGCGACGTGATCATTACAGATTGTGGATTATCAAGATAGAGGAAGTGGCCCTTCTTCAAGGGAAGCCTTGTTCTTTACCACAGTTTCCTCCAGGGTATTCTCCGTGGGCACCTGGGGAGAGCAGTAGCAGGGCAAGAGCTCTACAGCTCTGTGGGGTGACTGCCACGAGATTGCTGCTTACAGAGAGCGAGGAGGGGAGGAGGCGTATTTGTGGGAAAAGGATAGGGGAGGGCCTGAGCTCTGAGGACTCAAGGCTGAAGCTTGGAGCCTGGAGCAGGTGGGACTGGGGCTGCCCTCTCTTCAAAGCAGTAGAGGTGAGTGGAGATCCTAGGGCTCGGGTTCTGCTCACACTCATTGCTGTGTGGCTACAGACAAGAGGCTTCACCTCTCTGAACCTGCTTCTTCACCCACAAGGCGAGGTCTTCCCCATGGGGCCATCTGAGCATTGCAGTGTGTTGGCATGTGGCCAGGGCTCCGGTCTGTGTTAGCTATTTATGGGACATGGGGTGCACATAGATGTCCCACTTCTTTATTCCACGAGCTTCCTGGAAGCTGCGGGGGGAGGGGAGGGGTAGGAGTGTGAGTAGCAGGAATGCCGTAGCTCTTTGCATCTTTGCAGTTGGCAGAGGCCAAGCACCCGTTGTTTCTGCACACAGTGTTCTGGGCAGTGGATGGGAGGTACTCTATGGCAGAGCTTAGGAACCAGGATGGCCAGCCCCGTGACCATGTCCTGGCTCTGAACCCAAGCAGGAAAAGCAGATGGAACAGCCATTCCTCAGGCCTCTCTGGCTGGCCTTTTCCCATCTGCCTTGACAAAGGCCACCAGAGGGGGCATGAAGGGCAGCAAGACAGTGTGTCAGGCCAGTTATCAGCACAGCCATCCCTCCTTCTTGATGGACTTTCTGTCCCTGGATTTGACCAGCCATAGATGAAAAGTATTTTGGAAAGCCGGATGTGATGGCATAAAAACCTTTCAGTGGCATATACCCACAATCCTAGTACTCAGAGGCAGGAGGATTACTAGTTTGAAGACAGCCTGGCCTACACAACAAGATTCTTTCTTTCTCGAAAAACAAAAACCAAACAAAACACCAAAAACAAAACCAAGAAAAAAATCAAAATAGAAAAAGGAAAATAACAAAAAAAGAAAAGGAGGAAGGAAGGAAGGAAGGAAGGAAGGAAGGAAGGAAGGAAGGAAGGAA